GACAGCCAAGTCCACTCAGCTCTGCATGAATCATCTCATTTAATCTTCACAACAATCCTATGAAGTTGCTCCTATTGATGTGTCCATTTTACAGGTGAGGAAACTGAGACAAAGAGAGATGAGGTATCTTTTCCAAGGTAACAACACATCTAATAAGTAGGAGGTCCAAGGTTTAAGTGATTATTCTTAACCACTGTGCCATTTGTTTAATGAAAGGTGTACTTTTCACATCCTTTCATGAAAAAAATATTTGTTTGAACTGTGGGTTATATGACATGTGTCAAAAACAGAAGCAGAAACAAATACAACCAACATTTGTTATTCACTTACCAGTATTTGTTAACAGGTGGGACCGCATAGTGGAGGAGAGCAGCCTGTTAGCCCCAAGAGCTCAGTGTTGGATATCTGTTAGTATGTCCCACAGAGGGAATGGAGCATGTCAATCTGGCAAGGCCAGTAAAATGGGCATCTTCTGTGATAACAAGCAAGAGCAAAACCAAATAAAGCCCAGAAGTCAGCATGCAATTGCTTATGAGGCCATGGAAGTCATAGGGCAATGAAGCCATGAGTAAGAAGAAACTATGTATGAGTAATCAAAAGCCAGAGTAGTGGGTGAGATCATTGTTCATTGAGACAAGATCAATAGAAGTAGGACCCTGGGTTGGGGAGCAGTGTGATCCTGGGCTGAGGGGGCTTCCTGCCACCACTTATGCTTGGTGAGGCCCACTGGGGCTGCGGAGCCATTCTTCCTGTGAGGCCAGGTCACACAGGTGCTTCTAGGTTCCTGTGAATGATGCTCTCCCAGGCAGCTGCCATCCCTGGCCCCCTTATGTGTAACCTCACAATTAAAAACTCCCCCTTGCCTGAGATATTTGGTTAGTCTCTGTTCTTTGCAAGCAGATAACTGACCTCCTTCCATCCACTGCAGGTGGTCCCTCAGGAATTACCCCTTCTACAACAGTGGGCAACTTGCAGGGGTCCAGGATACACATACCCACCACAATCCAGTTCCTGTTCACTAGGAACTACTAAATTAATGCCACATCCTTGCTTTGGAGATGACCTTCTTAGAGATGTCACGAAAACTATCTCTCTTCTTCCAACAAGCAAAATGCAATAAAATCAATATGGTATAAGCTTTCTTAATTGCAATCAAATCCCAGCTCTGTCTTTTTGAGGTTAACATCAGATCCCCTTGATTACAACTGGATATTGAGTTTCCCTAAAACTCTTCAAACACATCCATGACAACTTGATTCTTTCTTTTTAATTCTTCCCAACATTTAAACATGTTCAAGTCTGGTCTTTTTTTTTTTAAACTACAATCCAAGATAAAAATGCATTTCAGCAATATGGAGGTTCCTTAAAAAACTAAAAATAGGAATACCATTTGACCCTGAAATCCCACTTCTTGGAATATACCCAAAGAATGCAACTTCTCAGATTCAAAAAAACATATGCACCCCTATGTTCATCGCAGCACTTTTTACAATAGCCAAGATATGGAAGCAATCTAAGTGTCCATCTGTAGATGAATGGATAAAGAAGATGTGGTACATATATACAATGGAATACTATTCAGCCATAAGAAAGAAACAAATCCTACCATTTGCAACAACATGGATGGAGCTGGAGGACATTATGCTCAGTGAAATAAGCCAGGCAGAGAAAGAAAAATGCCAAATGATTTCCCTCATTTGTGGAGTATAACAATGAAGCAAAACTTAAGGAACAAAATGACAGCAGACTCAGAGACTCCAAGAATGAACTAGTGGTTACCAAAGGGGAGGGGTGTGGAAGGTGGGTGGGAAGGGAGGGAGAAGGGGACTGAGGAGTATTATGATTAGTACACATGGTGTGGGGGATCATGGGGAGAACAGTGTACATAGAGGGATCATGGGAGAGAAGGCACATAGAGGATCTCTGGCAACTTGCTACACTGATGGACAGTGACTGCATTGGGGTATGGGTGGGGACCTGATAATATGGGTAAATGTAGTAACCACATTGTTTTTTCATGTGAAACCTTCATAAGAGTATATAGCAATCATACCTTAATAAAAAATTTAAAAAATGCATTTCATACAACAACGCAGTACATATGTATAAAAATACATCAAAAATATGTTTTGCCAAAACCTAGTGTTTTGTCTTCTTTTTCTTTAGAAATGTTTATCTTAACCCAATAATTTATCATTGTTTCATGACCCACAGTTTGAAAATTATTAGTCTAGTTTATCCTTTCTTCAAAAATTCCCTTCTCAAAAACAGGTCTTTCTTTGCTCTGGTTCTTTCCTTTTGCCAAACCTCGCAGAGACAGTAGTCTGCTCACCACTTCCTCACCTCTTATTCACTCTCCAGTTAGCCCTCTTTTGTCTCTGAACCTCCCCTGCTCTGCAGCTGCCCTCATCAAGGCCTCTAACATGCTCCTTGTTGATAAGCCACACATTTTCCAGCTTTGTCTAACCTATGCTCCCACCCTTTAACATGGCTAGCTGTGCCTCCCCAAATCTCTCTCTTGCCACAGCTTCCTGAGGTCACACTCTCCTAATTCTTCCCCCACATCTTTGCCAGTTAATTCTTAAGACTCTCTGCCTCTCTACAAGTCTTCTGAGGCTATTCTTTTTTCTCACTTTACACACTGTTCTTGGGTGGTCTCAGTTCACCTCATGTGGGACACCTGAGGGGTCCATGCCCTTCTCTTCAGCTCAATCTCTCCTTGTATCCAGTACAAATCAAATCATGGGCCATGGACTCTGACATGAAAGTCTCCAAACTTGAAATTTTGCTCATTGGAAAACCTAAACACTTGAAACTCCAAAGCTTTTGTCTGCATTTCTGCAGTGGTCTTTCTCCTCTGAGGTAATAAATGCCACTGAATGAAAGGGAGAAAAGGTGGGGGCGGGTAAAGAATGTGTCTGTTTGCATGCCTGTGTGTGGAGGGTGATGGTGGTGGGAAGCCCAAGCAATATTTGCAATAGACATTGTGGCTGATTCTCAACGTCCATTCCATACCAGATGATTAGCCCAAGCCATCAGTGGCTTTCCCCTGGCAACTCTAATTGCTCCAGGAGTGGACACACCAATGACCTTAGCCAGATTAAAGGAAAAGACTTACATCGTGTACCTGAGAGAAAGCTTATTCTCTTCCTCCATTGGATGTGAAGAGAGGAGCAACACCCTGTATCTCCTGGCAGCCATCTTGGGACCGTGAGGAGAACCATCCTGAGGACAAAACTCCCTTCTAAGGAGAAAGGCTGAGCAGAACCATGGACAGCGCCTGGGTCGTTGATGCTATCACTGAGACTGACACAGCCAACCTCAGAGCCCATATACCTCTGGCTCCTTGCCATGGGACATAGTTCTTTACTTTATTTTTCTTAAAAAGTGAGGTTAAAAAAAAAAAGAGGTTAAATGTTACTTTCAGTAGAAAGTATCCTGATAGATTCCGTATTTCAAAATATCCCATCACACCTGAACTCCACACCTGGGGATCCAACTGCCTGCCAGCCTTTCCTCATGCCTGTTCCCTAGCATCTCATATTCAGTACGTCTAAAGTGACTTTGTTGTGTTGGGCCCCCTCCTCCAGACTTCCCTGTGTCTGTGAAAGGTCCTACCATCCTCCTAGTTGTTCAAGTCAAAGTGGCGGGTCACCTTTGCTATTTTCCTTTCCCTTACACTGCCAGTGTCTCCTGCTGATTCTACCTGAATATTTCTGAAATCCATCCACTTCCCTGCCCACCATCATCTCTTGCATTTTTCACTTCAACAGCCTCTGAACTGGTCTTCTATCTTCCAATTGTTTCTGCACACTATAGCCAGAGTGATCTTCCTAAATGGAAGATTTGAATAACCTCCTGATTAAACCCTTCCTTTGGGATAAATTCGGAATACCTTCACATGGCATATAAGGCCCTCCATGGCCTGGCTCTCATTCTTTCTTTCCAACCTCAACACCATTCCTTCCTTTCCAGCCTTCACCCCATCATTACAGAACTGTTTGCAACAGCCAGACTTGCTCTCTTACCTCCTGACTGACTTACCTACCTAGAAAGCCCTCTTCCCTTCCCTGCTCCACCCGAACAACTCTGACCCGTTCTTCAATGCTCCATGTGATGGTGCCTCCTTTGGGAAGGCATCCTTGCCCCAAGGCTGGGTTCGGCGCTCCTCTTCATGTTCCCACAATGCCACCTCCTTATCTCAGTCACAGCCCTCATCGTGAGGTTGGAACTGTCCGCTTGTCTATCTCACCCACCCCAGACTGTGAGCTCCTTGAGAGCAGGGACTCTGGCTTACTCCCTGTACCTAGCACCATTGAGCAAAGATCATTTTATATTAAGGAGTGGATTTTGACTTGAAGCCAAGGGTAGGATGGAGTGGAGTTGGACGACAGCATGGAAGCAGACATTTTCAAGCAGGGGGAGGGTGCTGACAGAATCTGGTTTGTTGGCTAAGTGTGTTGAGTAGGTTTAGGTGGGTGGCAGGGCCAGGCCAAGGGAAAGGGACCAGTGAGGCAGATAATGGAACCCAGGCAAGAGATGATGGTGGCGTGGATTCAGGTGGTGGCAGTGGAGATGGGGAGAACCTGACAGACTTGAAAGAGTTGAGAAGTGGAATTAACTGAAGGAGGGTGGGAGTAAGTGAAGAAAAGATAGGAATGTAATAGGAGGCGAGTTCCAAGGTGGGCAACAGAGGCCCTTGTGGTGGTTTCTTTTGGGATGGGAAACCCAGAAGGAAGGAGGTGAGGAGCTGCTTTGGCTCTGTGGAGTTTGAGGGGCCTATGGGACACCCGGAAGGCACCTGGGCAATCAGGGCTTCAGACTAGAAACAGAAGTTGAGGAGAAATGGACTGAGAAATAGAAAAACCAGAAGGGTGGACGGTGTCATAGATGCCAAGATCATGGAATTCAGAGAAGCAATGGCTAGAAATGGGGAAATTCGACTGAACCTCCTCCCCACAGGCAGCCCCACTTCCACAGACACAAATGCACTGGGGAGGTTTCTCTTTACAACACTTTTATTTGATTCAAAAGTGAAATTCAGACTCTGGCCCACTGCTCTTGGGATCATGGAAGGAGTGACTTGACTTGGGGATCATCAGCCTCTCACAGGGATGGGCACAGGGGAACATATAGGTCATGTCTATAGGGCCAGGAGAGGCCCAGTACTGCTTGGCTGGTTAGGGCTGGGTCACATGCCAGGGATGGAGTGACTGCTGTCATCCCCTAGACACATGCAGAGGGAGGGGAGACTAACTCAGGGCTGGTGTTAGGGTCTGGGCTTGGAGTAGGCCTAGGACAGGGCCAGGGAACTCTGGACCAAAATGGGTTCAGTAGCTGTGAGTAGAAGACTTGTCTAGCTCACTACGCTGCTCCTTCTGGGACTCGGTCACTACCTGCTGGGGCAAGCAAGACACGTGAAAGGCACAAACTACTCAGCCCTACCCTCCTGGGAGCAGCCTGAGGCCCCCTCTCTGGCAGAACCAGCTGAGGCTCCAGTCTATCCATCCATCTTCTCCAGCTCCCTCCCACTCCAAGAGCCACTAACCCACAAAACCCTACGACCATCTGCAGCCAAGCAGGGGCTCAAAAATTAGATGCGAAATGGTGGGGTCCTAGGCTCAAGTGATCCATCTCACCTCTCCATCCCGGGTCTCAATAGTTTTGATGAGAACCATCTTCCGGCTGTGGCTGTCCTGGGTAGGCTCCACCTCAGGCACTGGAAAAGTAGGATGAGGAGCATGAGAGAAGAGGCTTGGAGTTTCTCTCCTTTCAAGCCCTCACTTCCGTTTGGTAGGGTGGGAGGGGCAGGGCCTGCCTGAGGAGTCGGGGTGGGCCGCATAGACCAGGACTCTGTAAGTAGTTCACAGAACTGATCGCTGAGCAGAGCCAGAACAAGAGTCTGGTCAGGACAGAAGTGAACAAGGGGACAGTCAGGTTAGCAGACAGGGGTGGCAGACTCACCAGTCGTCTTTATACTTAAGGAGGCAAAGGAATGGACTGGCATGGAGATCCTGGGGGTGAAGCAGGGGGTCAGCTGCTGTCCAGGTCCACTCCTTCCCTGAACACCCAATCCCGACCACTCCCTGCCCACCCTCCAGCGGCTCCGCCCCGCACCGGCTCTCCTCGCCCTCCAGCAGCTTTCGATAGGTGGCAATCTCGATGTCCAGGGCCATCTTGACGTTGAGGAGCTCCTGGTACTCACGCAGGTGCCGAGCCATCTCCTCCTTTAGCTGCCGTAGCTCCTCCTCCAGCCGCGCGGCGCCCGCCTGGTACCCGCCCGCCTCCAGGGCAAACTGCTCCTCCAGCTCCCGCAGCTGTCTGAGTAGCGCCTCGTTCTGCAGGGCAGGACTGGGTGAGTCAGGAAACAGACTTCGTCGTCCACCCCGGGCCCCGGCGCGCAGCCTCGGACTCACCGTGCCGCGAAGCCCGTCCACCTCGCATGTCAGGCTCTGGATCTGGCGTCGGGACTCGTTCATCTCCTGCTTGGCCTGGCGCAGGGCCTCGTGGTTCCGGTTGGCGGCATCCGACAGGTCCGCGTACTGTGGGGTGGGGGCAGCCGGGAGTGAGAGGACAGGATGCGCCCTCCCCAGGCGCCCCACCCTTCCGGGCCCTCACAAACCCTCTCGGGCGTTCGCACCTTAGACTTGTACCACTCCTCTGCCTCCTGTAGGTTCTTCGCTGCGATGCTTTCGTACTGCGCACGGATGTCCCTCAGAGCCGCCGTCAGCTCAGGCTTCACGGTCGCCTCCACCTCGACCTGCTGCACTTGCTGGCTCTCCACGCTCACCTGCAGGTCTCGGAGCTCCTGCCGCCCAGGGCAACAAGTTGTCAAATTTTCCGCGCAAATCCCACGTGGGTCGAGCAGTTTGCGCACAGAAAAGAGAAGTAACACTTGAATGAACAGAAGGGGGCGCCAGGGAGCACAGCGCCTATAGGACCGCGCAGCATGCTGGCCGGGTCCCAGCCAGAGGCCCGAGTACAGGGTGCAGCTCCGCCGATCACCACCAGGTGGTGCAGGGGTGGGAGTCAAACCACCTGTGGAGGGGGGTTGAGCGTCTGCGTTTACCCTGCGAATCTCACTTCCCTTCCCTAGACCGTTCCTCCGCTCTACTCTCCGGTCTCCTCCAGAGTTTGCCACCCAACTCAGTGAAACCACCCTCAACCTCTGAAGCCTCGCCTGACCCGCAGGTCCACCTACCTCCTCGTGCAGCTTCTTGAGGAACTCAATCTCATCCATCAGAGACTCAATCTTACGCTCTAGCTCCAGGCGGGACAGGGTGGCGTCGTCCACGTCCTTCACGAGGTGGCAGTGGGAATTCAAGAGCAGGGAGGGTCTGCTCAGGCCGAGGAAGGGCCAGGCCCTCCTTGCCGGCTTCTGGAAGCTTCTGATCGCCGCCCCACGCCCACAGATTCCACCCTGGATACGCGGGCCGGCGCAGGGGTGGAGAGATGGAGTTCGATGTGGGGTCCAGGCTCACCTTGCGAAAGAGCACAAGGTTGTGCTCCGCGTCCTCCCGCTTGCGAGTCTCCTCTTCCAACCTGGCAGGAAAAGTAGGCAGAGTCTGAGTTGCCCGGTTCCCACTCAGCCCCCAAACCGCGCCCCGCAGGATCTGGGTTAGAGGCCGCTGCTGCCCTGGACTCTGAGGAGGGGTCATTGAGCTGACCAATGGACTTGCCCCATTCTCTCTCCCGAGCTGGGAGCAGAGATGGGGAGATACACTGGGGAGACATAGTGACTCCCTCTCCTCCCCAGAGACTCAGCAAAGTGGTGGTGGTGGCGGGGTGGGGGGAGTCGGGGCCCGCGGGCGGGCGGGGATGGTCCCTGCACACGCTCAGGATGACAGGGGGAGCCAATCTGTAGGGCGGCTGGTGGGGAAGGGAGGGGACCAACGAGCCGCCTCGAAGGCTGCCGCCCAGCGGGCCCTGCCCCGACCTCTGCTTGAGCGCCGCCAGGTCCTCCGCCAGCCCGTCGCGCTCCACCTGCACCCGGTCGCGCTCGCGGCCCAGTAGCTCTAGCTCCCTCCGCAGCTCACGCAGCTCCTGCTGGCACAGCTGGTCGGCGCGCGCCGGCTCCTGGCCCCGGGCCTGGCTCAGCTCCCCGCGCAAGGCCGCGTTCTGCTGCTCCAGGAAACGCACCTTCTCAATGAAGTTGGCGAAGCGGTCGTTGAGCTCCTGCAGCTCTTGCTTTTCGTTGCTGCGCGTGGCCAGGAACTCCTGGTTGAGGGCCTCAGCCATGGAGAAGTCGAGGCGCTCCGTGGGCAGGCGCAGGAGGGCGCCCGCACCCAACCGGGGGCCGCGGAAGCTGCCCAAGCGCACGGAGGAGCCGGAAGACGCCGAGCCCAGCAGGCGGCTGCTGGAGAAGCGGGAGCTGGACGAGTAGGAGTAGGCCCCAGGGGACAGTGAGGGCGGTGGCCCGAAGGTGCGGCGGTAGGAGGTGGAACTGACGCTGGCCCGGAGACCCGACGGGTGGCTCATGGTGACAGAGGATGGGCAGTCACCGCTGTCAGAGCTGGTCCGGGAGCTGGGAGGGAGCCGAAGACCTCTGCGAGGCAGCTTTATAGCCCTGCGGGCTCAGGGGGGGCACGGACAGCTCCTCCCACTGGCCTGACTGCGGGGCTCTGTGGGGAGGGGGACGCCCCACCCTTGCGGAGCAGCAGGAGGGCCGCACCCTCCCTCCCCGGTTGCGGTGCCCTGCCTACTTATTCCCTCTGTTGCCGGCAGGGAAGGAAGCAGGGATGGCTTCCAACACCGGAGGTCAGCGCCTTCCAGTCAGCATCCAGAGCTGGAGCCTAGGGTGGGTGGGCCTGACGAGAGTTGGGGACCCTGACTGAAAGAGCTGGTAAAAATTGGGACATACAAATAACCGACCATTACGTTGTACACCTGAAACTATGTTATGTCAGTTGCACCTCAATCAATGTGTCAGAGAACACGAGGATTGGACGTTAAAGGGCAGGCAGATTTCTGGTACATGAGTAGGAAGGAGGTAGCCCAGGTGGATGGCGAGTTGGTCTGGCCTAGGCCACGGAGCCTGTGCCTCTGCTTGTACCCTGAAGGCTAGGCTCTGCTTTCACCTGCTGTCAGCTACCCCCTCTGTCACCACACCCAGGGAGAACTGGGGGCAGGAAGGCAGTGGCAGCTGAGGGGGTGGAGAACGGCTGATCTCTCGGTAATCCCCAGGGCCCTGTGGAGGGCTGCTGCCTGGCGCCAGCTCTGCTGCTAATGGACTGGCCTCTTCCCCTCCCCCTCCCCTGGACACTTGGCCAGGGTGGGTGCCTGCTGATGTCTCAGCCTTAAAGACACAGCTCCCAAACCTGGACCTACCCCAGGCCCCAACAGGATGGGCACATCACGGATGGCTGAGTGACTGGGTCCTGCTCTGGTCCCACCTCTCACTCCTCTTTCAGTCCCTGGACCACTGGGAGGGTCTGTGCCCGGCCAGAGGCTGAGCTGAGTGAGCCAGCTGTATGCTGTCTGGCTTTACTGGGTTCTCCCCTCCCCCAACCAACTGCTGCTCAGTTATGGGCCTTACAGGAACCAGAGCAATTCCTGAGGTAGGAAGGGGAGGGGGCTGAGGGGCAGCAGCTGCTGCCAAGGCTGCGATGAACAGGCTGGCAGGAACCAGTTTCCAGTATTGAGGAGTGGCAGATACCCAGGGGTGGGTGGGGCTGGATGGAGAAGTGGGAAAAGAGGTGTCTATCCGCAGTGGTCCAGGGACTGAAAGAGGAGTGAGAAGGCCCCAGAACAGATGCACCGGCCTGTGTGCACAGACAAGATGCATATGCATCACAGCACCCTGTACCTATGTGCACACACATCACACACACACGCACATCCCTCCCTGCCCTCCCCCACCCTGGAGTTAGTGAGAAGGCTGATGTCTGGCCTTTGCATGACTGCAGCTTCCGGAACGCAGGCACAGGGTGCCCAGGAGTGGACAGGCAGCTTGGATGGTCTGCAGGAGCCAGGGTGCTGAGGCCTGTTGGGTTCGCCAGGAGCCATGGGGCTGCCACCAGGGACTCCAGGGCTCTCTAGTAGGTACAGGTCCACCTCAGATTGGCCCTGAGGATAAGAGCTGGGCATCTGGAAAGCAGGTTTGGGATGCCGGGCTGGATCTCTGGCTGAGGGGGTAAGGAGGGAGGCTCCCTGGCCGGCTAGCTCCTCAGCATTGCAGGGCAGAGGAGCCTCCCCTCCTTTGTGTGTCTTCTGAGATGGGCCAACGCCTGTCTGCCTGCTCACATCCCCACCGCCTTCACCTCCTCTCCAGGCCCCTCCTTCCTTCCGGGCCATTAGTCTTTCCCTGAACAGCTGCCAGGTCCTTCTCCTTGATGGGTCTGGTGTGGTTGCCAGGGGAATGGGAAGAGGGAGGATGGGAGAGAGGGGCAGGATGGATAAACCAGGTCCAGTGCCCCTAACTCGTCAGAGTGGAGAATGGTAGGGCTGGGGTAGGGGTCTTGGCAGGTACTGGTGTGCATGTGAGAAGCCTTGGTGCTTTCTGCTTGCAGCTGTGGTCTCTGAACCTCGGCCTGGAGCTCCATTCACCCTATCCTAGGCCCTGCCCTGCCCTGCCTGCTGTCCTCCCAGAGCAAACTGGGAGTCCAAGCTGGCATTGGAGTAGACCAGCTCCAGCCCTGCCTTACATGGAGCTGCTGATAGACCCAGGCCTTTGAGAGTAGAGACCCCTTAGGCTGGGCCCAGAGAGTTCTGGGGGGAGTCCTACCCCTCCGAACTCACCACCCAGATACCTCAGAGGGGAGGGGACCAGGGCCTCCTCAGGAGGGCTCTGGGAGCTTTGGAAGCAGTAAGACCAGGGCCTGAGTGGGGAAACCAGGCCTGCTGTGGAGGCAGAGGGGATTCCTCCCCCTTACTCAGGAAGAGCCAGACCTAGGAGATCTTGAGGCCAGAGAAAAGGTAAGAAAGGGTCATGGTGAAGAGCTGGGCTCTGGCATCCAGCTGCCAAGCTCTCCATCTGACTCCAACACTGTTGCACCAATTTAGTCTCATTACCATGTCCTTTTATGTCCCTCAGTAAAATGGGGATAAATGTAGTTGTTGGTGGATTAAATACTGAGGATACACAAAGTAGTGGCTGAAAATGTAAGCTGGTTTTATTACTACTACTTCGACTATTATTATTATTGATTTCCCAAGTGATACTGTCAGCCCTCCGAGTTCAGTGAGGATCTCGACTTTCTGATTGTCCCCACTAGTGGCGGAAAGCAGTGCTGGACCAAGATGGAAGGAGGCAAATACTTCTTGGTTGATGGGGAAAGGGGAACAAATCCCATCCTTTCTTGGTGTACTAAGACAAGGAAAGGACTCTGGACAGACTGCCAGGGTTCACTCATGGCTCCCCATTTTATTAGCTGTGTGCTTTGGGTCTGGGTGAGTGATTTCACCCCTATTCACCCCATTTTCTTTATCCATATGGTAATGATAAGAATAGTACTTACCTCATAGTGCTGAAGGATTAAATAATTTACAATATGTGAAGCCCTTCGTGGTTGGCACATAATATGTGCTATATACATATTAGCCGTGTTATTATTACCCCTCCTCCTTCTGCTAGTCTGGGCTGCCCTGGTGAAGTCTTGGAGAGAAATGACAGTTGGATGCATCCAGAGATTTGCAAGGAAGTTGACCAGCAAAGTTTAGGTTACTGGCAAGAGTGCTACTGAATGATAGGCCATAGACTCAAATCAAAGCTGGATGAGGAAGGGTGTGTGGGCAAGAAAGGGTGGGAGGCTGGGAGAGTAAAGAGGTCCATTGCTGGGCTCCCAGGCAAGGCCAAGGGACAGTCAGAGCAAAGGAATTGAATGAGGCACTGAGAGGATAGGAGGTTGTTTTCAGAGAGTGGGATGCATGAATTTGTGATTCTGGAGAGGGGTATTTATGGATAACATTTCCAGGGCATTTCTAAGGGAGTGGGCAGCTGAGGCTAAGGTCAAATGGAGGAAGAAGTCATGGGAGAAGAGGTCAGACCACCAGTCTGGGCAGTTACTAGCTGTGTGATCCTGGGCAAGTTACTTGGCCTCTCTGAGCTTCAGTTTCTCATCCGTAAAATAGGGTTGTTGATGCCTTCCTCCCAGGAGTGTTTGAGCTCTTAATGAGGTATTGTGACTAAATCAATTAGCAGTCAAGAGGTTCATAGGAGATGTTCAATACTGTTGATTGCTTTCATCTCTTCCCCCAGGACAGAAAGGAACTGAGACCTAGGAGCAAAGACATAACCCTACTTACTTGTAACTAAGTGTCCACTGGGGTCTCCCTGTCCCTTGAGGCCGAGGACTGGCTTAACCTCCATTCCACGTACTGGGGAAATTCCAATGTCATCCTCAAGATCTCTGCCTTTCTAGTGCTCCCTCATTATGTCCCTAACTCCAACTCTCTGCCAGCCCCTGAACTGGCTTTTATAGCGAATTCTCATGTCTCAGATGTGGAACTCAGCACTGCCCCTTGGTTCCCATGGCCCCCTTTCCCATCACCTAGGCAGGACCCAAAGCTCACAGGGATAAAGCTGCCTGTCTGAGGTTGCACAGCAAGCTAAGGGTGGCTTTCTCTGTAGGAAGGGGCACCCTGGTTGGTCAGGCCCCTCTGGTGTTCTGGGCTCTGGGCCTGCAGGAGCCAAGAGGAGCCTCAGCCAGGAGTCCCGCCCCACATTTCTCAAGGGGACTCTCCCAGGTGGGTAGTCTGTAGGGTCCCCACGGACAGAATGGCTCCACCAGGTTGGAATCCTTTCCTTCCCCATTATCTCCATTGTGGGGCCCCACTCCCAGTTAGGGAGCGCTCTGGGCATCGTTTCCACCTCATCACTTCTCACTGTATCACATAGTAATAGCTAATATTTCCGATGTGGCAAGCATTTTTCATGTGTTACCACTTTTAATACTCACAATAACCCTCTGACATAAGTACCATTACTATTCCCATTTTACAGTTGAAGAAACTGAAGCACGAAGAGGTTAAACAACTTGCCACGGTCACACAGCCAGCAAAGGAGTCATCTGTTTATATGTCTGACTCCCATCCCCGGCCCCCAACCCTCTCAACCCCGACAATATGATCTTTGAGGGCAGTGCTCAGGTCCTATTCGCCGTTGTGTCCGTCGGGTCTAGCATAGGACCTAGGGTCAAACAAATGTTGGTTAAACTGAAGGAAACCCTGAGGCACCTGAAAAAAAATCTCCCATCGTTGTTGGTCTGGAAAATAAAGAGATGTGTTGCTGCCACCTTCTGGTCTCAAGCGGGAATGACATGTCTGCAGCCATAAGATTCATGAACGTTGCAATTTAGGGGATGCTTCAAAACTATTTAAGACCTTTTTAACAGACGAAGAGGATTACTCAAGGATGTGTAACATGTAACAGCAGCACTGGTGTTGAGTTCAGAACGCTGATTGCATTCTTCCATTTGGCTCTAGGAACCCCCTTAACACCACCACCCCAGCCAAAAACCAAGGAAGGAGGGCAACATCCTTGGGGTCCTCTACCATGTCCACAATCTCCAGTCTGGCTCTCACTGTAAAATTGCATCTACTTCTGCCTGCTTAACCTTTCCAACCAGCTACCCCTCAACTGGGGAACAAGAGAGCTGCTTATGGCCATCGGATGCTAAGTGAACCTTCCTTCTCATGGTATGGCCTTGGGGACCTGACAGAGTCACCTGGAGGGCATTCAAAAGCA